TTTTTTTTTTAAAAAAAAAACATTTTGTTATGTTCCTCTAATTTCTTTTTGCAGATTCAGTTGACTACTGGATGATGAATTTTTAATTAATTTTTTTTTTTTGGACTTCAGAAGGTATTTCAATGAAAAATTTTTTATAATTTTTTTTTTATTTGGCAGGTTAACTTTTATTTACTTTTTTTTTTAGGAAATCAGTTCTAACGTGGACTCGAAACTTTAATTTAAAAAAAACACTTTTATATTACTATATCGTTATATTTTTATTTTCGTAGGAATGCAGTTACATTAAGTAAGTATCGAAATAAAATTGAAACTTTTATTAAAAAAAATGTAAGAACTTCAGTTTCAAGTTCTCTGAAAACAAAATTCAAAACATTTATTTAAAAAATGGTTTCAGCATTTTTGTATTAACTTTTTTTTATCTTTTTGTAGGAACCTCAGCTCCGATGGTGAACCAAGTTCGCCATCATGATATCATGTGATAATAGAATATTAATACCCGCCGCAGTTCAATTTGCTAGTATAACTGATCTTTTTTTCACTTTTTTTCACCTGTCCTTTTACTTCCCTTTTACTTTCTCGTCCTTTCTCTTCCTTTTGTTCTTTTATTCGTCCATCTTCCACCCTTTCCTTTTATGTGTATACGTACTTTTAATTTATATTATTTGGATATTTTGGTGCTCTTCTGTAATATGAATTAATTGTAAGTCATAATATCTCAAAAATGATGGTAGTGTGGATATATATTGGATTTTCTTTTTCAACAAACTTTTAGAGAAATATTAATTAATCAAGACAGCTCTTCAGCTCTTTGGATGCAGGATTTTGTTTTATTTTATTTTTTATCTATCTTTCAAAGAACAGTTACTTCTTTCTCTTTTTTTTAGACGATTGACTCTCAAAACATGTGGGAAATTCGGTAGGAATGGCAAAATTTTTAAAATTTGCTCTTTTAATGAAACTTTTAATAAACTTTTTCAATTTTCTTATTTTTTAGACGTCAGATGACTCAGATCTTTCTTTGGATGAGTAAGTTATCAATCCCTTTTTTGGGTTTTATAACGAACTGTCTGTTTCTTTTTTTTTTTAAATGGAACGCGTGAAATTCTGGTAAGATTTATTTTTATTTTCTTTTTTTTTCATTTTACAGTGCAGTACCTCTATAACTGACCTAATTTTATAGTCATAATGTGACATTTTCAAAAAGATATCACATTAGCAAAAAATAATATTTTAAAATTCTAACCAATAATTTTAATAAAGCATATCAAAAGCTTTTAAACTTATCGGGTCAGATTAAAAAATAATAAATTTTGCTAGTGTTACATAAGTTTGAAGTTCAGATAATTTATTATGATAGGAAAAATTTGAGAATAAGTGATTTTTGTGTAACATAAAAAAAAAATAATCATTTGATAGTGCTTATTCAAATAAATCATTTTAGCTTATAAACTTACCCATGCTTTGTTAAAAAAATTTTGAAAAAAAATTAAAAAAAAACTTTGGTAGTTTTTATTTATTACAAATTATATTATGCCTATTTCTCAAAAAGGAATTATAGGAAAACTTGCTAAAAAAATATAAATCCTATAGAAAAGTTCCTGATGATATACTTAATCAAATTACTTTTAAATAATTATAATGAATAATAAATTATATATAAAAAATTATGCATAATTCTAATTAACATTAAGTATTACATTAGCCAATCAAATTTATTTTAAGTCATGTGATTTTGTATTATGTCAGCAAAAAAAACGAGAAAATTTTTTTATTTGCCTAATGTATTTATCTTTTTAAAAGCTATCTAATTTTAAAATTTTATAAAATTCTGACCATTAGATCACAAAATATAAGGGGTACCTATTATAGAGGTACTGCATTATTGTAATAACTAATTTTAATGGTTATCTTTTCTTTGTAGATGGTTTGGTTATTCAGATATTGAATGCATGGAAACTTGATGAGAAGAATTAAGTTTCGATGTTAAAAATTCAAAAACTTTAACAAAAAAAATGTTATTACCAATTTTTTGGACCATAAGTGAAGTCTGGTACTTTACAGAAACCTTAAGTTTTCAGACTATGCCGAATTGATATAATCATGATGTTAAATTCATATCACGGCGATATCAATTTACGTGACAATATCATTATGATATTACTGTAATATCGTTTTGATAATAATACAGTATATCAAATTGATATCATAAAAATGTTTATTTGAAAAGATATCAAATTGGCATCATTAGTATGATATCATTTCAATAGCGATAATTTCTTTAAAAAATGTGAAATAAATATGATATCAATATGAAATTGTATCAATATTGACTCAGTATATTGAAAAGATATCAGGAAAATATATATGTGAAGAAATATCGAATTGACATCGCATTGATATCGTCAAAAAAAAAAGTGATATTGACACGATATCGACATGATATCATTTCAATATTAACTTGGTATATCAAAAAGAAAAAGACAAAAACACAATTTGATGTTGATTTTTTTGAATTTCAAAATTTTTTATCAAAATATTGATTTATGGTCATTATGGGCTTATGGCATTATTAGTTAATAGTTAGTTATAGTTAAAGAATTGCAGAAACGAATCATGTAAGCAAGAAAACATTAGTGTTCAGACCCGTAAACCGTTAATATCGGATAGAAACAGATATCTGTTATTATCAGGTATCCGATTTGACATTTAGGTTAACGGTTATAATCCAGATATAAAATCGACTAACGGATTTAACCGGTTGGATCCGATAAAGGGTATCGGATACTTGTTGATCCAGATTCATAACGGATTAACGGATTAACCGTAATCTGTTATTTGTTTCACTATAAAATCATTACGCAGCAGTTTTTTTAATTTTTTTAATTCATTTACTTTATTGCTTATAGTTTATTCAATTCTTTTTTATAAAATAAAACCAAACGATCTTTTTTATTTATTATTAAAAAACCAAATATTTTCTCAATTTAATTATTTAGAAATAAAAAATGTAAAAAATTAAAATGAACTTTGTATTTTTTTTATAAAAAATCAAACTGAAATCTATTTTTGTCCAAAAAATTGTACTTTATTGCTTCTAGGTGCGATTTTGGACTTGGACTTTGGAATAAGACATGAGGTATAGGATTAAAATTAGAGAGAAAATATCAAGAAAGTAGTATGTTAATTTTTAACTAACCTTTCTAAATTTCTTTCCATTTTTTTTAATTTCTTGTCATATCTTTCTGGACGTCTAGAACTCGAATTTTGGCTATTGGATTTGATCATTTGGAAAAAGGTGCGTGTTTTAAAACTTTGGAATAGGGAGTTGAGATTTTAGAGAACATTAGTAAAACTTTAACTAATGTTAATTCTAATTTTTTTTCCTTGTAGGTACCTTTCTGGACGTCTCGATGTAGGATTTGGTCTTTGACTTTAGAATAGAAGGTAGGTTTGAGAATTGGGAGGTAGGGAACATTGGTAAGGTCTTTACTAATGCTTCTTTTATTTTTAGTTATGGGTATTTACTTGGACGTTTTGGATCTTAAAAATTGGAACGAAAAGTCTGATGGATTAAAGATTGAGAATTTTTTCTTTTTTTTAGAAAGTAGAAAATAAAATGGATTTTGTTTATGTTTTTGCAATAAGAATCTGAGGATGTTCTTTCTTTTTTTTTATATTTTAATTAAAATAAAATGTTTTAACATAATATTAGAGTCAAAACATCTACAAAATATATAGTACAACATAGTACCCTTCATCTTTTTCGTAAAATAGTATCTCAAATTTAAATTACAGTCTTCGAAGACTTCACTGCACTATATATGCAAAGTATACGGCAAAATAAGCGGTATCACATTTAATTTTTAAGCAGTGAAACATTCACGGATATCCGTGTTAGTGACAATATCAGAATCATCACTCCGAAAATTAGAAGGAAGCGAGGAGATCGAAAGGGAGTTGAAAAAGAGAGAAAAAGAAGAAGAAATCGCAGGTGGAATTGTAGAAAAAAAGGGAAAAAAAGAAATCGCGGAATTTTTACAGAAGACACGGAGAAATAATGGAATATTCTTTATTTTTTTACCATTAATTAATTAATATATGATTTATATAAATAAGGTTATGTAAAAAATTAGCAGAAAAGCATATTTTTATCTAATTTATTATATAATATGAATTAATGTTATTTTTTATTAACATAAAATAATCTAAAGCTCTAATTTTAAAAATTTTAAATTATTTGACATTGCATTAATAATATATTGTAATATAAGCATTCAAGACTAAAAATATTTAAAATAATAAATTTATCCTTTCCTCATCCTCCTCATCCTCCTCATCCTTCTCATCATTAATTTCATTTTCTAATAAATCATTTCCTCTATTCGCGCCAATATATAAATTTCTTAAATATTCATACCTTTCTTTTTTACATTTTTCCTTATATTCTTTATATAATCTTCTTCCTTCATCAGCACTAACTAAATTATTGGTTTGAACTAATATTAACCAACGTTCATAATTATAAGTGTTCATGCGATTTGCAGAAAAAAAAGTGATGTTAAGGTCGGGAAAAGCGTCAAATATATTATAGTTATTATTTGCCAGATTTAATAACCTTTCTATGCGTTTGGCTCTTTGGATAATTAATTTTAGTTTGTTTCCTGTTAACTCCAAATGTCCGTTACCGCCACTTTTTATTATACTTCTTATAACGTTAGTTTTAATTGTTTGTCCTTTGTTCCGTTCATGATATATTTTAAAATACGTTTCTAGAGTTCGAAAATGTTGTAATATTTTTAGACAATAACGAAATTGATCTCTTCTCATATAGTCTGCTTGTACTTCTTGTTCCAACGAAGTTTCATAAATGTCAAAGATATTCTTTGACAGTTTGGAACAAGCGGCTTTTATTTCAGTTTCACGTTCTTCTGATGGTCGTTATAGTAATGATATAAAATCTACTGCGAAATAATAGGTCGGAAAGAATGAGATTAATTAAATGAACAGCTACTATTCGAATCATAATAATAAATCATTGCACCTGTATTATATGAATTTTTACTGCTTTCTCCTAATTCTTTAGTCCAATGACTACTTGTTGAAACTAGCGACTCTTCTTGATCATTATTTAAAATATAACTGAGTGAGTGACCTAAATAAAAAAAAAATTAGTTAGGTATTAATTAAATTAAATCATTTGTGCCTGTACTACAGTATATGAATCTTCACCTGCTGTCTGTGCGCTATTTTCTTTTAGAGTCGTATCACCATCCAAAATATAACTAAGCGAATGTCGAGATGATTTACCACCATCATTTGTCAAAAAAATGCTAGAATTGCAAAATTCATTGACATTATTAATCCTAGATAAATGACGTAACAACACAACTCGATATTGATCATGATCACAAATTTGTAACGTATCGGCTATTGGGGGAGGAGTAGAAAGTTTGTGTATATGTTGTAAAAGCGTAAAAAGTGACTCTCCCATCTTCATACAACTTATAGACAATTCTAGAAAATAATGTTAATATATTAAATAAATTTTTTTACCAAAACTTATTATTTACCTTTATGTATTGTAAATTTTCCAATATTCGTAAGTTTGCTACTAGTATTTGAAAAATTACGTCTTTCACATCCTCCTTGAGCCATAAATTTGCTGGTAGCAGTCGAAAAACTATGTCCTTTACGTCCTCCTTGAGCAGGATAATGGTCCATTTTAGTATCCCATTGATTATTTAAATTGACTTCAATTGCACCACCGGAATTTTTTCCAATTCGTATAAAATCTGAGCTACAGTTTATAATTAGATTTTTATAACCAAACTCTTTAAGTTTAGCATTTGTTCAGATTATTAAATTTAATAAATTATCATCAATTTTGTCACTTTCGTGGTCGTTTTCGTATGATATTTCTGTGTAAGAAATGTATGTCAAATTTTTCTTTATAACATTTAGTTAATCATAAATTGCTAATTTTATATACCTTTATCAATTTTGTCATTGTCATCATCATCTTCGTCTTTGGCATTGTCTCCTTTGTTGGTATCATTAGTATCGTCTTTGGCATTGTCTCCTTCGTTGGTATCATTAGTATCTTCGTTAGTTTCGTTTGACATTGAGTATATTTGATGATGTTGTTGTTGTTGCTGCAAGAAAGACGACATCTTAAAAAGTAAAGTTGCAAAATCGCAAATTTTAAAAGGTGCAATAACAAGAAATAATCAAAGAATTTTTCTTTCTAAGAGTACAAAAAAAAAAATAAAAAAAAATAGATTTTTTTTGCATAGAAAAAAAATTCAGATTTAAATTATAAAAAAATAGATTTGTGATTACATCATTAGATTTGTGGATTAATGTACCTTTTACTCAATATATAAAAAAGGCCATTTTTCTGGAATTCATAATTAGATTTGTAGTCATACTGAAAGAAATTCGTAATTAGATTTATGGTTGTATTCAAATTTATAGAAATTACATCATTAGATTTGTGGATTAATGTACCTTTTACCCCATATATAGAAAAGGCCATTTTTCTGGAATTCATAATTAGATTTGTGGTCATACTGAAAGAAATTCGTAATTAGATTTATGGTTGTATTCAGATTATAGAAATAAGTTTGTAGTTACATAATTAGATTTGTAGAAAATAATGTAATTAATTAGATTAATAAATAATTTTGGAATAATTTTTTATATATATAATAATCATATATAGAATTTGTAATTAGATTTGTAGATAATTAGATTAATATATTTACCTTGCTTTGATAGATTGAGCAAATGGGATTACTTAAGCAAGGACCAAATGAGACCAAATGAGACTGTAGCAAGATTCTGATCAAGAATAAATCATTGTGATGGTTTAAAAAAATTGCAATTTTTAAATAGCGTTAGGGGAGAGTAGTTTACTTAAGCTTCTTTCAGTTCCTGTTGTTCTTTTTGAAATCAATTAAAATTCACGTGAGCAAATTTTTATATTAAGAATATTTCGTTAAGAAATTCTTTTATTTGAACATAGCTTCTTCAACCGAAGCTGAAATTTACGTTATCATCACTGCCTTGTTGACAGTTCCTCATAATTCCACTATCAAAATTTTTACTGATTCACAAAACGTTATCGACACCTATAATCGAATGATTACCCGCTCCTTGTCAATCAGAAGGTCGTTAAAACTTCCAAATCACGTCGCTTGGCGCTTCATCATTTACCTTATAGAATCAAAAAATCTCAAGATCACCTTTCATAAAGTCAAGGCTCACTCTGGTGACCAGTATAACGACTTAGCTGACGAGCCGGCTAACTCTACACATCTCCTTCCTCCTATTAAACTCAATTCGTCCAAATTTCCTGGGACTTTAATGACGCCAATATGGGCTTCTCTTGGTCCCATAGACCGCGATATCTGACGATTTTTACGCGAAATTACTGATTGTATCACGTTTACTCAATTTTTACACAACTCTACCCTCAAACCTTTGTTTGATAAATTCAACTCTGATGATATCCATTGGCCTTTGACACAAGACTGGCTTCACTTTAACCCTACTGACGACATCTGCAGTAGTCACAAGTCAATCTACGATGCTTTTAAAATCAAATCTCTCAATCATATTTTACATGTGGTAATGTCCTTTTCAAACACTATAAGGACTTATATCCCCCGACAGGAATTTTCTGCCCGATCTGCCTTAACACGAATGATTCTAATTCTCATCTGGGTTTTTACGATGATCTTCACCCTTTCCTTAATAACACTCTAATGGAACATATACCTATATTGGTTGCACTCATTTCTTCTCATACTGTCAAAGATAATATGATTAAATTCATTCCAGATAGTGTATCCCGATCTGATTTATTCCAAATGGTCTCAAATGATTCTCACATATTTGATCGTTCACAATATGGTCCCTCAAAAACTTTATAATTTAATTCACTCCTATGTTGGCAAATACTTAACCTGTAGAAACGTACTGTTTCAATTTATGCAATCGTTAATTCAGAAATTATTTGCTCATATCTGGAAACTCCACAATGACAAACTTCACGAATGGAAAATTACTCGTGGTATTACTAAAAAGAAAAAATGCTGATATCGACAACACAGACATGTTTCCGACCCTACACGTGATACAAACAGGTACTCTCTACTTCATTCTCCGGATGCTTGGACAGTTAATACTCAGAATGGTTCTCCTTCTCGACTACCCTCCCAACGGTAATGAATCTCCGAACGGGTCAACTCTACCTCTTTGGATGGTCCTTATAACAGGACCCCGAAAAATACATATGGAAGTCATAAATGATCAGCAAGATTTTGGCCTAAAATAAGCAACTTTTCAGGGCCGGAATTATGATAATGCTAGCTAGTATCAAAACGGATAATAAAATTTAGGCCAGCACTATCTAAAAAAGGCAAGATTTTCATAAAAATTTAGGTTCTTTTTAAGCAAACTCAAATGTGACCTTTTTATGTATTTTTTGGGGTCCTCTTATAACCTCTAATTATTTGCACACGGGTGGTTGGACCTCTCACTTTTTTAATTATAGTTCTATAGATATAGACTTTTCTTTATATAGTTTTTACTCTTCATCTCTCAATGTATGTTTAGTTCGAAACAACGCTGGTCCTGCCTGAGTTGTTTTAAATAATCCAGGCATGATGATCTTTTTGAGGGTTGTAGTACGTTTGGATTTTGTTGTTTCTTTATATAAAGACAGCATTCCTACCACTTCTTCAGGCCTCATCGTTGTCGTTAATTGAAAAATAAAAATAAAAATAAAATAAAATTTTATTTGAACATAGCTCTAATTTCTGGCATAATATCCCTTGGATTAAATCATTATATATAGATTTCTCTTTAGATAGTCTTCCCTTATTCAAACATCTCCATTTGTTTTATTTCATTATATAATCCTTCCGCTATCGCTGTTAGCATAATAAAATTATACTAGTTCTATTTTTCTTCTTCCTTAAGTCATTTTGGTTATCTAGTAGTTCTATTTATCCGAATAGTCATATCGAAGGGCAGGTCCCCTATGGGATAATTATTTACCGATCTAACACACCTATATTAGTTTTTCGTACTTCGGTACCTCTCAATTTTTATTGTATTAGATTGTAATAACTCCTTTTCTAAATAAACTTTTATTTGAACATATTTTCTTTTTTCCTTGCATTATAGTTTTGATATTTGAATTGAAAAAAAAATCGTTAAAAAGAGATGTTACATCAACAATTCGCACGATAAAGTTAGTTTTTGCCTATTTAAGGGGTCATCTAAAGCGGCAAATCACGTGATTTTTGATTAAATTTTATAAACAAAGATTAAAATAAGCGTATTTTGCAAGTTTATCATATCCAAAAATGGATAACGAATTACCAATTTTTTTTGAAGTCACGTGATTTGCCCTTCCTTTTATTTAAGCATTGTACTTAACATTGACTGTAAATTTTTATTTGCCAAAAAATTTTTCTCATGAAAAAGTTTCTACGAAAATCCAATTAAAAAATAATACATCAAGTTATTCAAAAATTCATGGAAAAAATTTTTTTTGTCTGACGATAACTATCATTTTAGAAAATTTTCTGTCTGTTATATTATCATCATAAAGCAAAAGGTAAAAATTATATTGAAAATATTTTAAAGTAATATAATATTTAATTTTCTTTTTGAATAAGTTTGATAGTTAATTTATTTAACAACAGAGAAATCATATCGTTAATGAACTTCATAAAATTACTGAGCGGTTCTCGTTGACGGCAGATATGTGAACTTCCACAAATAACCGTGAAGCTTTTTGGAGGAGGATTATGTGTGTTTTGAATGAATTCAATATCTCTGAGAGCAGCATTTAATCTTGAATTTTCCAGCATGTTTTCACACTATCAATGTGCCACGCATGTTTTGAATGTAAAGAAAGCAAGGATTAAAATTAGCTAATGAGTTCACAGTTAAGATCTTGAATCTTTGGAGAAGCTCCATCATCATCTTATCCGATTGTAGGAGAAATTTGATTTACTTTTTGAGTATCTAAAAACTTTAATAATTACTATCTAATAAACTTTTGTAATGCTGATTGATGATTATATAAGACTTTGAAAATTCTTGCATTAGAATTTTTAATAAAAGGTAAACTCAAGCTTTGGAAAAAATCTTGAACACAAAAAAGAATTACATTCTCAGATTTATTCATATTTTGATAATGACAACCCTATAATGTACCATATTCACTAAACACAATATACCTTATCTATGTTGGAATTTAATTGTTAATGGAAAATATTTTTTTTTCAATTATGCCATCTCTTGGTTGGATGCTGTGTAAGAAAAGAACAAATTTAAATACTCAAATAATTAAATCGATTACGAAAATTTATTGTTATTATTGTTATAATACTCTTTTAAAAGATTATAATTTTAATTAAAATTAATCAAAGGTAACCATAAATGAGAAAAAAGTAAAGAGAAGGAGGTAGAGGAATCCAGAAGTGTAGATGAAGAGAGGAGAAGGAAGCGAGGAGATCAAAAGGGGAGTTGAAAAAGAGAGAAAAAGAAGAAATCACAGGTGGAATTGTAGAAGAAAAGGAAAAAGAAGAAATCGCAGGTGGGATTTTAAAGAAAGGGAAAAATTGGAGTCGAAAGTGATGAATACGACTTAGAAATAGATGAGATTTTAGAAAGAAAGAGCTCGGGAAAAGATATAAAGAACGAGTGGTGTTGAAAATGTAAAATTAGAACGCTATCTTATAAATCAATTAAAAGATGGGTAAAACTCAAAAAAAAAATAAAATAAAAGTGAGTGACCTTCGTTTTATATTATATAATTAATTATATTTATATTAATCGTGATTATTTTTTGTGATTTATTTTTTTTTTTTTATTAATAGAAGATTCAACGAATCATCCCAAGGAGGAGAATTCTAAGAAATTTGTTTATTAATAGAAGTTCATTCAGAGCTAAGGAAAAAGAACCTGAAATAAATAAAAAAATCTTTGTATATTGATAAATTTGTATATAATGAAGTAGTTAGTTCAGTTTGTAAAAGAGAGACGGCTTGGCTTGGTCTCAATGAAAATTGATTACTTTTTGGCCTTTGGTTCACCCTTGATCTGGAACGAATATTTTAAAATTAATATGACCCTTAAATTTAATTAATGT